CTCTTCGCCCGACCAGCTCCCACGGTCGGGCCCCGGCCTCGGGCCGAGGCGTGCGAGCGCCCTCCCCCGGCGAGGCGGTGCTCCGCCGAGGGGCTCCGACGGCCTACCGGGCCACCCCAAGCTGAGCCCGAAGACCCGAATCTCGGGGTCGGGGGCGGGGAGGAGGAGGAGGAGGAGGAGGAGGAGGAGGAGGAGGAGGAGGAGGAGGAGGACGACGAGGGCCGCAGCCCGAGGCTCGAGGGGGCTCGGCGCGAGGCGAGGCCGGGCGAGGCGCGGCCCTCAGCCTCTCGGCCGCCGCCCCAAGCACGGGGGCACGGCTTCCATGCGCAGCACCCCGCAGGTGCGGATGAGAGTGAAGGGGGCGGGGAGGACGTCGGCAATCTGCGAGTCTCTAGAGAAGCCCGCCGCAGGCGCCACGGACTTACAGATTATACAAGCCCGCCGTAGGCGCGGGTTTTTTCTTCAAACCAATGTGGATCGGTCGCGGGTGGGTCGCGGGGTGGCTTGCGGGTGGGTCGCAAGTTAGTCGCGGGTGGGTCGCGGGTGGGTCGCGGATGGGTCGCGGGGTGGGTCACGGGTGGGTCGCGGGGTGGGTCGCGGGTGGGTCGCGGGTGGGTCGCGGGGTGGGTCGCGGGTGGGTCGCGGGTTGGGTCGCGGCTGGGTGGCGGGGTGGGTCGCGGGTGGGTCGCTGGGTGGGTCGCGGGGTGGGTCGCGGGTGGGTCGCGGGGGGGACGACGACGACAACCACCAACAACAACAACAACAACAACAACAACAACAACAGCAGCAGTAGCAACAACAGCAGCAACAACAACAACGCAAAAACATAATCCTCACCACGGATTCTCACTTCATCCATGCACCCAGGAACAATGAATGACCGTCCGGCCCCCTCACTCTGATATGTATGTGTGTGTTCTCAATGTTCCCCGACCCCCTCGTCCCCACTGGAACTGGAGGGCACATCGAGGCCTTCGGGTTAGATGGGCTGGTTTGGTGGGTGGTGGTGCACGCCCCGCGTCCGCACATTTCACCGTCTGAGCTGTGCAGGCAGCGCCCATGCACCAAGAGGCAGGGCCATCGTCTTGGGCTCTGGAATGGTATGTATGTATACATACATACATATATATATATAAACTCCAGACCCGAATCAATTGATGTTTAAAAATAAGCGATATGGATATTGAGATCGATTGTAAGATCGATCGTGGAATCGATAATTGTAAGGTCGATCGTCAGACCGAGAGTGAAATCGATTCAATAAAATCTATAATGGGATCGACCCTGAGATCGCTCGTGCGATCCATAATGAGACCGCTCGTGAGATCGATAATGAGATCGATGGTGAGATTGATAGATTGGTGGGTAATGAGATCGATGGTGAGACCGATCGATAAAAAGATCGACCAAAAACCCAAGAACCGGAAATCCGGGAACCCCGCCGCCCACCAAAATCGGCCCAGAACCCAGAACCCGGGAACCCGGGAACCCAGAACCCGGGAACCCGGCCGCCTACCGAAATCGGTCCGGTGCTTTCGCCAAATCTTCCAATTACTCCAGAGAAAAACCCGAATCAGTGGACGCTTGAAAACAAGCCATATAGATATTGAGATCGATTGTGAGATCGATAAAGAAGACGATAGTGATGACGAATGTAAGGTCGATCGTGAGACCGAGAGTGAAATCGCTTCAATGAGATCTATAATAAGATCGATCCTGAGATCGCCCGTGCGATCTATAAAGAGATCGCTTGTGAGATCGATGGTGAGATCGACAGAGAGGTGGGTAATGAGATCGACGGTGAGACCGATCGAAAAGAAGATCGACCAAGAACGCGGAAATCCGGGAACCCCGCCGCCCACCGAAATCGGCACGGAACCCGGAACCCGGGAACCCGGGAGCCCAGAACCCGGGAACCTGGGAACCCGGCCGCCTTCCGAAATCGGCCCCGTACGTTCGCCAAATCGTTCAATCTCCGCAAGGGGCAAGCAAGTGCAAGCACTGATTTTGGAATCTCCGCTAGGACCCCTTCAGTACAAGCACTGATTTGGGAATAGTGCTCCAGAGAATAGAGAAACGCCCAATCAGTGGATGTTTAAAAAAGAGTGGCATGGATATTGAGATCGACTGTGATATCTATAGTGAGATCGATCATTTCATCGATAGTGATGGCGATTGTAAGGTCGATCGTGAAACCGAGAGTAAAGTCGATTCAATGAGTTCTATAGTGAGATCGATCCTGAGGTCGCTCGTGCGATCTAGAATGAGGTCGCATGCGAGATCGATAGTGAGATCGATAGTGCGATCGATGGTGAGATCGATAGGAGGTGGGTAATGAGACGGATGGTGAGACCGATCGATAAGAAGATCAACCAGGAACCCCAAACCCAAGAACCCGGGAGCCCGGGAGCCCGGCCGCCTCAATCGGCCCGGTACTTTCGCCAAATCTTTCAATCGCCACTAGGACCCCTTCAGTGCAAGCACTAATTGGGAGCTGTGTATATATATACACGCACAACACTGCATTGGCGCTTCGCGCCATGCACCTTGGTCCTTGAAGTTTGGTATGCAAGAGGAACGGCAAGAAGGTCAAACCGACAATTTGGCGATAACTCCTCGCTGCCTTTTCTGGCATCGCCGTTACAATGATGTTATCAGTTGTCCTTCCTTCATATTTGTTTCCTGATTCTCGCCTTACCCTGCGCATTTCCCCCATCCTCCTGAGCTCTTTTTGCGGAGGCTCCTCCTTGGAGAGCCTGTGGGGGCCTTAATGAAGTTTTCTAGCTTTCTTAAAGCCCTCTGAAGCCTCCCGGGCGTCTTCTGGGGGCCTCTGGGGGCTTCCTCGGGCCACCCTGCCTCCAACCGCGGTCTTCCTGAGCGAACAGGTCTCGATTTGGAATGCTTCGGAAAGTGTCTTGAGGCCATCTTGGGCCGTTATGGGGCTCTCTTAGACCATCTTGGAACCCTGGGGGCTCTCTTGGACTGCCTGGAAGCCCTTTCGGATTGTTGTGGGGCGATTTCCGAGCCTCGCAGGCGGATTCGGACGCTCAGAAGACCGCTGTCTTGGAGCGTCGGGAAGCCAAAAAGAGGAGAACCCCCAACTTCACCAAAAACACAACAAAAATAATCAGTGAATTTTGCCTCTCGGGGCCTTCTTGGGAGGCCTCTTGGGTCGTTTTGGAGCAATCTTTGAGGCGATGACGGCTTCTTTGAGGTCGTCGTGGACCGTCTTGGGGCTCTCTGGAGTCGTTTCGGGAGCGCGCCGGAACGCGCCGTCTTCGGGCTCTCGTGGGGTTCTACTGGGTCGTCTGGAGGGTCACCCGAGAGGCCCAAGGTGGGCCAAATTTGTTAGGGGAGGGGGGGCGCCTTTTCCGGGCTCTCCAGCCCTACAGAAATATCTGAATAGAAATGTGTATATATCTTGTGGAACATACACACACATACATATACATGTACATATACATGTACATGTTCATTTACATATACATATACATATACAAATACACATACAAATACATATTCATATACATATACATAGACATGATACCGGAGAAAAACCCAATCAGGGCTATAGGGCTAGGGGGATAGAGTTGTAGGGCTATACGGCTATTGGGCTATAGGGTTATAGGGCTTAAGGCTATAGGGCTATAAAACACCCCCGGGCACGCCTGGGCACCTGGGCACCCGGGCACCCAGGCAACCCGGGGCACCCCCCGGGCACCTGGGCCCCGGGCACCCCCGGGCACCCGGGCGTGCCGCGAAAATCGGCGACAAACCTAACCTAATCATATGAATCCGCTAGGACCCCTACAGAGGCAAGCTCTGATTGGGGAATATACATATACATACACATATACATACAAATATACATCTACATCTTCACATTCATTTCCATATACATATACATATACACATACACATACATATACGTTTACATGTACCTTTACTTACACACGCATGTTTACAAATATGCAAATATACACATGTATACATACCGCCCCCTGGCCGAGGCCAGGAGGTCCTGTACTCCATTCTTGGACCAAGGATTGCCCTGACCATGCATTGTGGTGCATGGATGACATCCGCGGATGCACGCTTGACATGTGGTGGGTGTCCATGTCATCTTTTTACCCCCTCTCGCTCGCTTGCTCAAGGCTCAAGGGCCAATGGGGCTCAACAAATGGCCACCAAAAACGTGTACACGCCGGAGGCATGCACGCAAATACATGCAGAGGGAACACACGAATTCATGCAGAGGGAGAGTCCTCGTCCTCCTGAACCCAATCCTGATCCATCTCGCACGTTCCCTAGAATCACCCCAAAAGAAATTATGAAGACCTTCCTGGCGACTCGTGTTCCCCAACAAAGACTCATCTTCCCTCCACACCTGCTTCCTGCCTGTCTGCGGCCTCCTTATCCCGTAACGAAAAAACTGCGCGAACAGAAATTTCAGCGTGTTCGAAGCCGCCCAGTGTGCTCGCATGACAGCAAAGTCCCCGCATAAGCTGCTGACAGCAATGCCGAAGACTCTGAGTGGAGGGGAGGGGGGGAGGACAGGAGGGCTCTAGAACGTCTTGAAGCTCGAAGGTGACTTTGTGAACTCCAGGGGTAGGCTCAGGGGAGGTGGGGCCGCGCCCGGGGAGTCGGGACCGCGAGGCCGTGGGATCCGGATATGCTCCCCGCACACGGCACGATGAGAAGAGGAAGCTGCGTAAACACAACGTTTCGAGGTCCGCGCGGATTTGTTGGATCGGCTCTGACCCCCCCCCCTGACGTGCGGTGAGGCTTGCGCAGAGCGCCGTGGGTGGCGCCGGAGGCGCCGTCAGGAGGGCCCGGCGCCGATCGAGAAAATCCTCGCGGGCCTCCGAAGGTATATGTCTATGCGCCTTTTCTTTTCTCCGAGGCTATAAGGGTGAACTGTCATTTCGTCCGCTTTCGTCTCGCCCCCTTTCGATTCGTCCTCTTTCGTTTCGTCATCACGAAACTCAGACGATTCGAAACTGGGCGAATCGAAGCGGACGAAATGAAATTCGGAGGACATGACACGGAATCGGCTATAAGAGGGGGGGAGCCAAAAAACGCGCCGCTCGAAGGAACCCATCCCACAGCGACTAAAATCGAGCGCCTCCCGCTCCGGGAAAAACCGCCCCTGCGCGAAGCGCGGCACTTTAGTGCGCCTGCGCGTGGGGCGGCTCGAGAGCACCACTTCGGATGCCGCAGCAAGGCGGTACGATTGAAGCTTAAACCTGAGGCTCCCGGCCGCCCAACACGTGGTCACGCGCAGAGGGCTGATGTGCACCAGAAATAGGGGGAAACGACCGCTGCGCACGACGCGCGGCGAGAGCGCACGGGGCGAGGCCGCGGCCATGGGGCGTGAGCCACGAGACCCCGCCGTTTGGCGCGCTCGCCCGCGCCATGCGTGGAGGGGAGCCGAGAGGAGGAAGAGGGAGAGGGAGGGAGATGGAGGAAGAGGGAGGGAGGGAGAGGAAGAGGGAGAGGGAGGGAGGGAGATGGAGAGGAGGAAGAAGAGGGAGGGGGAAGAGGGAAAAGGGAAGGGGGCCAATACCGGGCCCTCCCCCCTCTCCAACCGGTACAGTCCTACGACGACGACGGCGACGGCGACGGCGACGGCGACAGACAGCGACGGCAACGGCGACAACTACGAAGGCGGCGACGATAACGACAACGACAACGGCGCGCTGGTAAACGGGTCGGGCGGGCGGGACGTCCAATGCAACCTTCACTCTGGGAGACGGCCGTGGGAATAATATATATATATATATATATATATATCACTACCACCAAAAAACAAGCTGGGCAGACGGAACATTGAATGCTACCTGTAATCAATGATGGGGCGTCCATATTGAGCGGGCAGAGCATTCTATGCAACCTTTACTGTGTGAGGTGAAGATTTTCAAATAAAGTGCATCATAAACGCTGCGGACGCCAGTCGGTCGGGCGGGACACTCAACGAACCATTAACTCAATGATGGGGCGTCCATATCGGGCTGGCGGGACATTAACTGCAATATGCGCTCTGTGTTGGGACACGATCATAAGACAGTGTACCAAAACCGGCCAACACGCCGGTCAGGAGGGCGGGACACCAACTGCCCTGTAGTCAGTGATGGGGCGTCCAGAATGGGCGGGCGAGAAATTTTAAGCAACCTTTACTGTGCGCAGGGCGAAAGGTAAGGGAAAATCGCCCACAACCACCGAAGACGCCGATCAGGCGAGCTGGACAATAAGGGGACCATGCACTCAGTGATGGGGCGTCCATAATGGGCAGCGGTGACATGGAATGTAACCTTCACTCTGTAGTGGGAGGAAATCATGGGAAAGTATAGCACGATCGCCCAAGACGCTAATCGGGCGTGCAGAACATGAAATCCGCCGACCCCAGAGGCGTGTAAGACTCAACTGTTCGCCTGTGGACGACTTCCACCAGGACACTTCGTCCTTTGTGTTTGTGATGTTCAGCCCAACCGATACCCCCCACCGCGCCCCGGCATCACCAAGCCTCTGGATCAAAAACAAGGCCGCCCACCCAAAAAAATTCTAACCTGAAACCGACCGATGCCCCAACCGCGCCCCGGCATCCCCAGGCCTCTGGAACAATGTTGTTGGGACCCCTCACCCGACAATCTCTGGCCTAAAACCTACCGGTGCCCCCGCCGCGCCGAGGCATCCCCAGGCCTCTGGACAATGTTCTTGGGACCCCCCACCCGACAATCTCTGGCCTGACACCTAGCGATACCCCCCCGGAACAATGTTCTTGACCCACCACCCGACACTTCCTGGCCTAAAACCTACCAAAACCCCCCGCCGCGCCCCGGCATCCCCAGGCCTCTGGAGCAACGTTCTCGTGGCATCCCCGCATCCCCAAGTATCTGGAACATTGTTCTTGGGACCCCCCACCCGGCAATTTCCAGGCCTCTGAAGCAATGCTCTTCGGACCCCCCCTCCCGACAATTGCTTGCCTGAAACCTACCGATACCCCCACCGCGCCCCGACCCCCAGGCCTCTGGAACTATGTTCTTGGAACCCCCCACCCGACAATTCCTGGCCTAAAACCTGCCGATGTCCCCCGCCTTGCTTGCCCGGGCATCCCCAGGCCTCTGAGACAATGTTTTTGGGACCCCCCACGCGACAAGTTCTGGCCTGAAACCTACCAATACCCCGCCGCGCAGAGGCATCCCCAGGCCTCTTGAACAATGTTCTTGGGCCCCCCACCCGACAATTCCTGGCCGAACTCATGCCGATACCCCCCACCGCGCCCCAGCAACCCCAGGCCTCTGGAACAATGTTCCTGGGACCTACAATCTACCGATATCCCCCACCGCGCCTCAGCATCCCCAGGCCTCTGGAACAATGTTCCTGGGACCCCCCACCCGACAATTTATGGCCTAACACCTGCCGATGCCCCCCACCGCGCCCCGGCATCCCCAAGCCTCTGGAATTTTGTTCCTGGGACCCCCCAACCGACAATTATTGTCGAAAAACCAACCGATACCCCCCATCTCGACACGGCGTCCCCTGATGATCCGGGGCTCTGAAACAATTCATATACCCTAAAATCGACCGACACCCCCAACCGCGCCCCAGCGCCCCGAGGCCTCTTGAACAATGTTCTCGGAACCCCCCACCCGACAATTTCCAGCCTCGAACCTACCGATGTACCCCTCACAGCGCCCGGGCATCCCCAGGCCTCTGGAACAATGTTCTTGGGACCCCCCACGCGACAATCTCTGGCCTGAAACCTACCGATGCCCCCATCCGCGCCCCAGCGCCCCGAGGCCTCTTGAACAATGTTCTTGGGACCCCCCACCCAACAATTTCTGGCCTGAAACCTACCGATACCCCCTACCGCGCCCTGGCATCCCCAAGCCTCTGGAACGTTGCTTTTGGGACCCCCCACCCCATAATTTCTGGCCCAAAACCTGCCGATACCTTCCATCCCCAGGCCTCTGGATCAATGTTCTTGGGACCCCCCCGACAATTCCTTGCCCTCAAACCTACCGACACCCCGCGCCGCGACCCCCCACCGAACCCCAGCATCCCCAGGCCTCTGGACCAATGTTCTTGGGACCCCCTACCCGACAACTTATTGCCTGAAATCTACAAGCACCCCCCGCCGCGCCCAGGCATCCCTAGGCCTCTGGAACAATCCCTGTAATGCGTTTATATGCGATCGCGCCATGGTGCAGGCGAGAAGCCGATCGTATCTAGTTTTCTGCAACGAACTCGATATAGATATTGTTTTTGGATGCGCGCCGCTGGCCTGCGCGGGAGCGCCGCCGTATGAAAGCAAATATATGGTTCAAGCAAATCTAAACAAGAAGACCGTGACTATTTTTCTTCGAGGGAACACATACTGCAATATCTATTTTTCAAAAAATGGCAGTGCCGCGCCGTGTCTATTCGTATTTAATGAATGTTGCCAAAATGGGTGCTGTTGGCTGTGCTTTCGGGCCGGACAAGATCCATGATATTGGCCAAAGCAATGAGCAATGGGATGGGGATAGTTGGAAGCCGTGGCTATAATGAAGGGACGAACGACGACGACAAAACGACGAAGAGAAGGATTGATAACGACGACGAAACGAGACTCGAGAGTGAGAGACAGAACTGGGCAGGAACTGGGAACCGTAGGAGGGGCAGAGCAAAGAGGAGGGGGAGGAAGAGGAGGAGGCGGAGGACGAGGACGAGGAAGATGCGTCAGATCGAAAGTGGAGGGGGGGGCGTGGGCTGCGGGCGAGGAGTTTATAGGAGGACTGGTGGGGAGGCTGACGACGACGATGCGTTGAGGCAGGAGAATAGGGGCCCAGGAGACGGACAAAGGAAGGAAGAAGGAGAGGAATTACGACGCGGAGGACGAGGACAACGAGTAAGAAGCTCCTGGCTGGCATGCGCATTGTCGTCCCTGTTCGTGGTAATTGAGCGGCCTGGGCCTGGCAGTGGAGACATGGCGCCGGATCTATTCGTACCTGCTTGTGGCAAACACGTTTTCCAACGATGGGCGCAAATTTAACCGACTCTACACGTAAATCGGCATATGTATTTTCGCATCTACAAAAAACACCGTAACTCAAATTAGGAAAGACAACCTACCTTCCGTCATGAAAAACAAGAAACCGTATCTAACCGTTATCTATGTTTGAAACAAAATATTCGTATGAATGTCATTGCGTAATACACAAATGGTTCAGGGCAGATTGTTTGATACCGTGCGGCCCTTCCGATTACATCTGCCGCTGGGGAATGAACAAACAAAACAATGTTTTTAGATGTATCTTCCAGGGAGGTTCTTGGGACCCCCCACGCGACAACTTCTGTCTTATAACCTACCGGAACCCCCAACCGCGCCCTGGCATCCCCAGGCCACTGGAACGCTCCTCTTTGGACCCCCCACCCGACAATTCTGGCATGAAACCTACCAATACCCCCACCGCGCCCAGGCATCCCCAGGCCTCTGGAACAATGTTTTTGGGACCTACAATCTACCGATACCCCCCACCGCGCCTCAGCATCCCCAGGCCTCTGGAACAATATTCCTGGGACCCCCCACCCGACAATTTCTGGCCTAACACCTGCCGATGCCCCCCACCACGACGCGGCATCCCCAAGCCTCTGGAACAAGGCCACCCGCGCGACAATTTCTGCCCAACCGACCGCCGATGTCCCCAACGCGCCCTGGCATCCCTAAGCCTCTGAAACAATGCTCGCAATAATTTGTGGCCTAAAACCTACCGGCGCACCCCGCCACGCCCCGGCATCCCCAGGTTTCTGGAACCGTGTTCTTGGGGCCCCCCACCCAACAATTTCTGGCCTGACACATGCCGATACTCCCCACCGCGCCCAGGCATCCCCAGGCCTCTGGAACGAGCTCTTCCGAAAAGAGCACGTTCGGCGCCGAATGGAAATCCATTCGGCGGGTTTCCGCGCAAACGCTGGATGGGCTCTAATCGACCTAAGCGAAACGTGCAGACAGCATTGCAAATATCGGGTCGCGTTGCGGGATGGACTCTCTTTTTGCCGGATGGGCTCTGTTTTTTCGACGAATGATTTTTTTCTGAAAAGGGAATCCATTCGGCGCGCCGGGTGGGCTCATGTCAGCCGGATGGGCTCTCTTCCAGCCGGATGGCCTCTCCCGCCCGATGGGCTCTGACTTCGCCGGATGGGCCCCGTGCAAAGGCTTCGCCGAATGAACTCTTTGAGTCGGGAGTGCGCTTTCGGAAAAAACATCGCGATTTTTATTTTTCCATTGCCCCCGCCAAAAAAACTGAGGCTCGGCGTGCGCGCGTATTCCTAGTGGTCTCTCAGTGCGCACGGACTGCCATGCGTATGTTCCTTGAGCTTGTATTGGTATGTCGTTGGTACCCATTGCGTTCATGAGGTTCCCCCAAGATGTAAAACAGTCAAGCATTGCACTAGGGATCCGCGAAAGATCCCCC